ATGTATTTAGACTACAATATTTCCTAATAGGCCGTATTCTGTGGGCAAATATCTTTCAGTTCCGCGGCCATCAGTCTCCATCTAATTTTAATTTATATAAATCTATAGATTTTGACACGCTAAGTATGAATTTCAATGTTGTCACTCGCACAAACCTGCAGTTTTTGAGTATATTGCCACCAAAGTTCAGTATCTTTCACGGCTTCGAAACAAGATAGCCGCCATTTTTGCTCTGGGTACTTCGTGTAATATATAATGAACTGTACTAGTTCAAGTCTTTTCCCGTGCACTTCGAGCATTATATTTTTATTTTACATGAAGTACAAGGTAGAAGAAATGTTACAGCCAAGCATGGCCTCTTTTGTTTGATTCATTTCGATGGAGAAAGTGGACAGCTTGCACGCAGGGCCGTGCCACCAGGGGGTGGGGCAGGGGGGGGGGATGGGAGTGTATCACTTCTCCCCCAAAGAAAAGTAAAAAAGGGGGCCCAAATTGCGGAGACGGGGCCCTGGAAAGCGGAACGTGTTAAATATTAAGGAATTTTCTGGAAAATTGGTCTAAAAAGGTCTTGAAACTAAATTTAAGCCCCCATTATGTAAACCTAGTGTTTGAAAAAAATTTTGGGGCCTCCCCGCCTTCCCAACATTTTCCGGAAAAATTCTTCGGTTTCTGTAAAGATTTTTTTGAGGGGGACTCCAAATTGGAGGGGGCCCAAATTTTTTTTTCACCCCAGCCCCACCAAAAACCACTTGGCACGACTCTGCTTGCACGCTTTACAGAGTATGCATACAAACGAGTTTTAGAATGTAGAGAAATTTAGAAGACATTGGATGGAAAATAAAAAGAGGTAGCAGAATATTACAGCATGATTTGACGATAACGAATGGCAAAATTCAGCAGTTGGTTACCACAGATATGTTATTCGAAATTCACAAACAAAACGTCAAAAGAAAGAGCCATAATTCGGTCCGGGAAGGCACAGCTGGTACTATAAGATGACTCAAAACCTTTAGAGTCTTTAGATGATGAGGCAACTGCAACCTCTGGTAAGTAGGTATTATTATTATCATTGCCATTACCATTGTCTCTATTATTACACAACTATGTATTAAACAAATTTCCATTATTATTATTATTAATATTAATAGAACAAGATTCTACAATCGTTATGTTCTATCGAAACTCTCCTGGCATCTTACTATTACATAAATTTCAAAAACCTGGATTTCGGAAACCTGGATTCTTTATTTACGCAATATGTTCGCAAATGGCTTGAGGTACCTATTTCTGGAACGCTGAGTAACATCTACCTAACCAGCAACAAATTTGGTCTTAACATCATCCCCCCATCAACTAAGTTTTTACAATGCCAGGTAACAATTCGGAATGCTTTAAAATCATCTCCTAATGAATCAATAATCCATCTCTGGAAGTCAACAACTAATCATGCTAATATTCAATACGACCAATACAGTTCGACGAAGGAAGTGATTAAGTCATTTCGTGATGTCCAAGAAGATAAATTAACAAACCAACTAACATACCAAGGCTCATTCTTTACCAGTGTATTAAGATTTTCCTTAACCCAAGTAAATACGATCTGGCCAGCCTGTCAGTCCAAATTACCTAAAAACATTTTCAACTTTACCATTCGGTATATAAACAATTCGCTGCCAACCCGTAGGAACCTTCAAAGATGGGGGCTATCCTCGTCTTCTGAATGCTCGTTCTGCATTAATCCTGAATCTCTATTGCACGTCGTCGCTGGTTGCAGTTCCTACCTCGATCGATTTACTTGGAGACATGACTCAATTCTAAATTTCATTGCTAATAACCTTCCATCAGAACATATCCGGACCATTTATGCTGATTTGTCGTCATTCTCTAATCCTTCTACAATCACTGGTGATGATTATCGGCCTGATTTACTAATTTTGACGAAAGACAATTGTCTGTATATTCTGGAATTAACCGTTGGATATGAGACTAACCTCAGAAATAACGTTAACAGGAAATACTCCAAGTATAAAGATATGATTATGGAACAAAAGAAAAAAGGTGTGTTTGACAAGGAATCTTCTGGTTTTATAGACATGTTAGAACATTTTAATTTAGATAAGGCTCATGTAAGATACGTTATTAAAAAGATTATTAATATTGCAATAAGGTCAACCTACTACATTTTTTGTTGTCGAAATAAGAACTGGGTGAATCCGGACTTGATGAAATTTAAAATTTTTATTGTATAAGTATGTATTTAGAGTAATAGAGTAGTAATATATCATGTTGCCAATTATACATTACCTTATATAGTGAGATTTGCAGTTGTAAGTTTAAAATATTAAATAAAGTTCCCATTAATATTTATATAATGTTCTGATTGAGCTTTTTTGATTTAGATGCGACCCACGCATCCGAACCGTCAAAGATTAGAAATTATTACGATCAACAGTAAACGCATCAAGTAAAACAAAATCAAAATATGTGTTGGCTCCTGTTTGCATCATTTGTAAGAAAAAGTCTTTTGTGACTGAAACAGTAAGTAAACGTATTTACTGAAAAGCATGTTAAGCATAATGAACATGGCAACGATGATTTTTACCTATTTGGTAGAACTCTCGAAAACGAAAGGAAGAACGGTTGGTGAGTGCAGAAACCATTGACGGGGGAAGATTGAGAGAAGCAGCTACAAGAAATGGGAACGAAAGTATCCTTTTACAAATTGCTGACAAGGACTGCGTGGCATTAGAAGTAAACTGCCACAGACGGTGTTATCAACGATACACAGAATTTGTAAGACGCACCGATGTAACAGAAGACGATGAAGTTCCTGCTAAATGCAAATACGAGGAATCCTTTAACTTTTTTTGTGAACGGTTTGTGAAAGAAAAATTAATTGACAACGAGGAAATTTACTACATGAAGAAAATTGAAGCGAAATTCGTCAGAATTGTTGTGCCGACAATTGAGAACTGCGATGCATCGGACTATAGGAGATTTCGCTTGAAGGAGAGGTTGATAAAAAGATTTTCCCAGCTGGTTTTCCATACACCGTATGAACGCAACAGAAGTGAGATATCGTCTATGCACAAAGTATCTGTCAAGTTGTCGTGGCGGAATATTACTTAAATGAAGAAAGTGAAACGTCGCAAAGTGAGATGGAGAGTGAAGATGAAGTCTTGGAGACCCGTTGTTAAAGAACCACGAAAAGGTGACTACACTGAAAGAGGTTTATGACATGGCCGTAAAAAATACGGGGCAGCGGGGACTTGAGCCCCCCTAACTTTTCAGTAGTAGCAGAGGGCTGAGCTCCCTATAAATTATAATCTCAAAGTGAATCTGGAAGTGAATGCACAGTTGCATATGCACGTTTTGAGTTTGCTTTATGATCATAATATTTTATTGTAAAACACGAGATGAATAATAATGACAATTGATTAATTTTAAGCGGTTACATTATCCATGACAAACTGCGAAGAATCGTATTATCCATACATTCCTGCAACTTCCCCAATATATAGTTAAATATACCTTCGCCCATTTAGTACTACTAAATTGTAAGCAAATTGTAAATTTCGCCATACTAAAACGCTGAATTCTGACCATTTGAATTTTGTCAAAACTTCCCCAAAGTCCAGGAAATGGCATTTCAGAGACTCTAAATTTAAAAATTTTTTCAGGCCTTCGGCCCTCGTTCTCAGCCCCCCAATAAAAAAGAGCTTCCTACGGCACTGCATGCTTCTGTAATATGTTTGTGCGTAAAATATGCATATTTTTGTTTGTAAATAGCGTCTTCTTTTTCCGGATAGCAAACACCTTCGTGGCTAATTCGTAGGCCATGAAATATTCGGGAATTTCTTTCGTCAATCGGAAATTTTTGGCCCCCCCCCCCCCCCAAACTATACATGCTAGCTACGGCCCTGATTCTTATTATAGTATTATACTATATTAATATGTATTGTAAAACATTTTTTTCTATTTAGCTTCTCAGCACGTGCGGGGGAATCTTTCTAAGGTGGGGTAGCCTAGATACACATGCCTCCAGGAACGTTTATAGGGAGCCACCTTAAATGCCACTCTTGGCCGCAGAGGCCTTTCATAAAAGGTTAACTAAGTAATTTTTTTATTTCTACTCTCATTTTTTTAACATCAACCCTCCGTTCGACCGCGTGAAAGTAGCTTAAGTTGGGTCTGGAACTAGCACCGTTCATCATATATTACACGAAGTACCCAGAGCAAAAATGGCGGCCATCTTGTTTCGAAGCCGTGAAAGATACCGAACTTTGGTGGCAATATACTCAAAAACTGCAGGTTTGTGCGAGTGACAACATTGAAATTCATACTTAGCGTGTCAAAATCTATAGATTTATATAAATTAAAATTAGATGGAGACCGATGGCAGCGGAAATATTTTTCTAGGCGACTTTTGAGGCCAAAGAATACGGCCTATAACGCCATGGTTAAGAAACATGAAAAAAAGCTTTTGTCTTCTAAAGCACATATCCCAAGATCCATTGTGAATTCAACTAGAATTGTATTTTTTACATCACAACCTTAAAAAAGTCAAAACAAACATATCTGTTCGAACCAAGCATGCAATAAAAATCAAAATATTCGGGGGACCTGCATCACACATAGACCATAGCCGTTTCGCCACCCGTGTTTCACTACGCCGTGCCCCTAACACTTTATATCATCTTGACATACGGCGCCATACTCTTCGCGCGCCCTCTGATGAATCTGTGATTTTAACTGCAATATATAGCTTAGAATTGCAGTGTAACTAGGTTGTTATAATGTTCGTTCTGGAGTCGAAAACGTTTTATCGGCTATGCAATTTCGATAACTACCCATTTCTGGCTATAACATAAAGTTAATTACAAAATATACATCAATGGGGGGTACATGTGGCCAGTTTGAGCGCTTCAGCATGTGTTTTGTAATCGTGTTTTTGTTTTCTTATGATAATTTTGACAATTGTAAAAATTTCCGTCATAGTAATGTTCTTAAGAGGTATTTTAGCAGTTACCATTATATCTTTTGGAATATTTCGCCTTGGCGATTCTCGTTCCAATACGATGTATAAGCAGACACTTCTCAACAAGGGCGCATTGTGCAACGATGGCTCTAGAGCGGTTTATTACTTAGGACTACAGAAGACGTCAAAGTGGATTATATTTCTGGAGAGCGGAGCGTACTGTCTTACAAAGACTCAATGTCTTAAAAGATTTGGAAACGACTATTCAAACGTACTGATGACATCGAAACACATGCCAAACACTATTGGAGGAAGAGATTTACTTTCGACATCTCCGAACGAGAACGAGTTATTCAACGACAACTCTCGAGTATTGATTCCATATTGTACCAGCGACGCCTGGCTTGGAACACAAACAAAAGCATCAAGTTTTAAAAACAATAGGACTGTAGAAGAATTTGTTTTTAGTGGTAAAATCGTTTTTGAAAGCGTTATTTTTGAGCTGCTCAACAAGGGTTTAAGCAAAGCGCGTCAAGTTGTGTTGATCGGGACAAGCGCCGGTGCAGTTGGGGTTTTCAATCTAGTGCAATGGTTACAAGACCTTTTCTCGTCCAAGCGTTTATATGTTAGCATTTCAGTGATTATTGACGGTGGATGGTTTATAAATTTCCAAGAGAGCATAACATCAGCGGTTGTGGAAGAATTCTATGTTATCGGCAAGCCTCTGTCTCGCGCATGCGCTGATTCTACGTACGGGTACCCATGTTGTTTATCAGCGTCATGTATGCTAGCACGAGGTTACTACCCTTCAAACGTGCCAACCATATTTTTGTTTAGCATGTATGATATTTATATTATCAGAGACATTGTCACGCGTTTGTCTGGAAGAGTTTCCGTTGCGGAGAACGGAGCCACTGATTTGTTGACTGCGATTGATTCGTATGGAGGTGCCATGAATCAGTCGCTTTTCGCGATTAAGCCCGGCTCTTCAAACCTAAGTTATTTCGTGCCCGCATGTTTTCAGCACACTTTCTTTTCCATGTCAAGTTTAAGAGATCAAGGAGGAATGTTACACTACAGCAAAGTATTCACGCAAGGAAATGCTATGTTTGGGTAATTATTAATCCATTACTTCCTCTCCATCCTTCCTTCCTTCCTTCCTTTCTTCCTTCCTTCCTACCTTCCTTCATCCCTTCTTTATTCCTTCCTCTTTGCCTTCTTTCTCTTCCTGTAACCTTTCTTTCATTTCTTCCTTTGTATCTACCTTTCTTTCTATTTTATGTCCTTCCTTCCTTCTTACCTACCTACCTACCTACCTACCTACCTACCTACCTACCTACCTACCTACCTACCTACCTACCTACCTACCTACCTACCTACCTACCTACCTAC